CTCCTTGTCCAGATGCCAATCGAAGGACAACCTGCTCAGATACCAATCAAAGACACCTTGTCCCAATGCCAATCGAAGACATCTTATCCCAATGTCAATCGAAGACACCTTATCCCAATGCCAATCGAAGATACCTTGTTTCAACGCCAATCGAAGACACCTTGTTTCAATGTCAATTGGAAACACCTTGTTTAAATTCCAATCGAAAACACCTTATTTCAATGCCAATCAAAGACACCTTGTTTATCTTCAAAATTCTTATTTTCTTTAAGCAAGTGTTTGTAATCACCCATATAAGAGAAAATCTTGGAAAATATGAGAAGGCAAATTTTAGGGTACAACACCCCCATATTGCATGCTTTTACCAATATACCCTTGCTTAAAATTACTGAATTTTAAAAAGTGTAAGTTTTTATTGAACATTTCAAAACTATACCGAAAATTTCAAAATTTTCAGTAAAAACTCATAATTTTTACCAACAATTTCGAGATGTACGCGTTTTTACCAGAAATTTCAAATTTCTGATAAAAACTCATGAAATTGTTTACTAGAAATTTCGAAATATATGCATTTTTATCTGAAATTTCGAAATTTGCGGTAAAAACTCTTATATTTTTTACCAAAATTTTCTAAATGTATGTTATCAAAATTTTTAAATGAACTACCTGAAATTTTGTTAGCGGGACTTTTGAATGAACTATCAGAATTTTATTCACACTTTTTAACTCAAATTTTTCCATGGATAATTTGGGAATTATGAAAATTTATGGGAGTGCCACCTATGGCTTAGGGGTGGCAAGTTAAATGCTCACATGTAAGTGTGGAAATAATATTTCCTTAAAATAGGGAATCTCTTAATACACTTTATAGGGTGTAAAAACACCCTATGAAAATAAATAAAAAATGTCCTTCAAATTCTAGAAATGTATATCCAGATGCATTATTTCCACAACAAAATACGTCTTAAGTGAGACACACCCTAAATTCATTTGTGAATGAGAAAAATAGTTCGGAAGTATATTTTCGAAAAATATTCAAAAATATACTTCCGTAAATTTTTAAGTACAAATCAATTATATTGTAAAGAGAAACACTTGATGATGTGTCCTGCTTTAGACATAATGAAAGCGAAACTCTAAAATTAAATATGCTAGCTGATTTGGTTGAGAGTGGATGAGAGAAGTTACATGCAAGAAAATCCAATGTTGATGGAATAGTAGGAAATATAGGAACTCACCATAATGACCAGGCACATGCGAAAGTGGTAAGCAAACTGTCATTCAGGTTCCAGGCGGTAGTGGATATGTTGAATTACAAAGTGGGCAGAACGCCTTTTAATTATTTGGGGCTTCCTATTGGGCTAATCCTATAAGGTTAACGACTTGGAAACCAATGATTGAGGTTGTTCTCAAAATGTTGTCAAGGTGGACTAACAAATATTTATCCATAGGCGGAAGAATCGTTCTTATAAAATCAGTCTTGTCAGCTCTATGAATCTACTTTCTCTCCTTCTTCAAAGCTCCACCATGTATCATCTCTCGTATTAAATCTATTTTTAAACAATTTCTCTAGGGTGAGAGTGGGTTAGATCTTAAGTTAGGATCAAATTTGCAGGAATATAAGTGCGGGGAGGGGGGGGGGGGGGGGGGGGGGGGGGGCTGGGGATTAAAAACCTGAGAATGTTTTAATATGGCCCTTGTAGGAAAATGGCTTTGGAGAATAAAAACTGGTAATTTTGGGTTATGGATTAAAATCTTAAGGCATAAATATGGGAACACCTTAGAATTCCATAGAGATAGTACTAATAGAGGTTCCATTTTGTGGAGGGACTTAGAATCCCTTGAAAGAGTTGGGTGGGGAGTTAGAGAAAAATTGGTTTGTTAATGGAGCTGGCTGGTACTGGGGATGATCAAAAGGGTATGTCGTGAAATACGCATACACAGATTTACTTGAAGAGAATGAATCTAATTAATTTCCCTATAGTAATTTGATTTGGAACAAAATCCTTCCTAATAACATCTCATTATTTTTGTGGCGAGTGATTCAAAACAAATTGCCCACTAGGGAGAATCTCAAAAAAATTGGAGCCCTTAGGGCATGTAGCGATAGATGCCCTTTCGGGTGTGATGAGGGTGAATATTTAATCCATGCATTGTGTGTATTCCCTTTTTCGAAGACTATCTAGATTGAGGTGCATAATTGGCTGAATCTTCCTACTAACCCCCCTCTCGAGAAAGTAGCGAATATGGATAGTTTTGCAGGTTTGCTTGGAGAAAGAGAAGGACCAAAGTCTCTATTGGCTTGTATTTAGACCGCAACTGTGTGGATTGTTTGGAAAGCGAGAAGCAACTTACTCTTTAAAGGTAAGGTTACATAGGATGACAAACTTTCAGAAGAAGCGAAGATCCTGTCTTGGAGATGGTCACAAATCTAAAGGATTTATTCATCCTTTAAATCAATGGATTGTAAACCCGATAAACTACATCACCAACTGAGCGCTTTTGGAACCATAGAATTATTTTGTACGGGGTGGTGTGGGTTGTTTAGCTCTGGTCCAGAGCTCCATTAATCGTCGGAGTTACTAGAGTGCTCATAGTCTCCATCATGGGTGTCTACCCCAGGTCTTGCGGGCCTGTTCCGGTCTGAGTTTGATTTTGTTGTTCTAGAGTCGTGTGGCGCGATCATTAAGTTTTTGGTGTTTTGTCTAGTTTTTGCAACAGTGTGGTGACTGTTTTTTTATCAAGGTGGTTAGCAAGTTATCGATGGTGCTATTGTGTTGTCCTCCTGGTTTCAGATGTGTTGTTTTTCTCTTTGTGTTGTAATTCTTTTTAGTTTGGAATAAGAGTTGCTCTTATTTTTCTTACTGGTGTTATTATGGCAGTTTTGGTTTTTCCCTGTTTTGTCTATTATGGTGTGGAGTTGTAGTGAACTATTTCTTGTACTTTGATGTTATTCTAAGCACTTCTTGTGCTCTTGATATTAATTGTTTTTTTATTAAAAAAATCATTCACGTTATTTGATAAGTAGGTTTCGATAATGTATTTTTCGAAATAAATTTAATTATAAAAATGAGACTTGATTCAAAATGAATGAATTTTATATATTTAGGATACGTTCGGAGATGTATTTCTGAAATGTAGAAATATTTTGTATTTTCACATGATGTTGTAATAATACACATGATGCATTAAAAAGTAAATTTCTTTTTCCACCATATAGTTTTCTAACGCACCACGCAAAATTTCCTAAATGTCCCTTAAAATTGGAAATATATTTCCGGTGTGCACCTTATCAGACATACATTGCATGAAAAAAAAGGATAAAAACGAAAATGTAAAACCGGTTGTAACTGTAAATATATTTCCGGTTACACTCCAAATAACTTTGATATTTAAGCTCACACAAGTACATGGCCTTGTAATCCATTCAATATATAAACTGGAATGGTATTTACGATGGGAACTGAAAATATATATCTGGTTCGTGTTTAGACTTAAAGCCGCGTTGCCATTTCCCATCCCTTTACAAAAACATATTTCAAACACACAAAACACACAAAACACACTAAACACAAATTTCCTCTCAAACCCCATTATTACAAAAATCAAACCAATTCACAATAACCTAATTAAGCATCAATTGTATCAGTTAAATTAAGTGTCCAACTAAATTCAACCAAGAAAAATCATCAATTATAATTTTTTTTTTTAGTTTTTTAGAATTTATGTAATTTCTACTCAAATTTGTGATTTAGGTTAGAAATTGTGCTTTTTGTGTGTTTTTAAGATTTGGAATCACTAGAAATGTATATGCCTGAGCGCGTCATGCGTCAGTTCGGGTACACCCAATATATTCTCCGAGATCCTACTGTATCTGCTCCTCCGATGGTGAAACACATGGATATAAATGTCTTGTTTGATGATTACGAGAATCATCTTGTTCCAGATGAGACCCAGAGTACCTTTACTCCAAATAACTGGAGCTACGTGGACGGTTATATCATCTGCTTCTTCAGGGTGTCTCATCCATACCTGGTACAAGATGCTTCAGGGAACCCACTGAGGTCGCCACCGACTTTTCTTTTATCCAGATTAAGAAAGGGTGAAAAGAACAGAAAAATACATTTTCGAGATTACTCTGAATAAGGGGGGTAGATTATGGAAAGGAAAGTGTTAACACCCTTTCTATCTGTAGTTATCTACGGGCTCTTAGAGGTTTGCTCATTTTGAAAGTACTCTGTGCTTTATGTATTTGAAAAATATTTTGAAAATGTCTTAGTGCGGCGATTTGCTTTGCGTTTAACTCTTGTATCAGTCCTCAAGAGTGTTAACAAAGCAAATGTTTTTGAAAATTGTTTTTGAAAAGTAGTATTTGTGTAATTGCAAAATATTTTGAGCAAACTTCTAACAACTATCTAGTTTGTATTCGAAAAGGTAGTTCTTTTCCTCCTATCCTTTAGACAGTGCTATCCTACTATTAGTGAGTAGGTAGCCCTATCGTTAGATGTGTGAGGGACATTCGAAATGACGTTACAGCCACGAAGGCAACTTGTGAAGACGCTTTAACAATTTTGTTTAGGGACTAGATCATTTATCGAAAGACAACTGTAGGGTCATTGAGGGACTATGATCTTTTGATTTATGAGTCTTTGTTAAAGTTTTCCTGCCTCATGACAGTTTTATTTCTGAAGGCAACTAAAGTGAAGTACCTTAGAGGTGTATATGTGCAAGTGTGTTATGTTCAATTATTTTTGTCTTTTTGTTAAGTTTACTAACGTTTAATTTCAGTCTTTTCATACACACCTAGTTACTAGCCGTTAATATATATTGTAGAATATAAAATGCAGAAGATAAAAACTTAGACAATTACATGACTTCGGGGGTATTTAAAATAAGTCAAACCAAACCCCAGCCCAAACATCATCGCATTGGTGACGCAGTAAGGAGTAGAAAACGCAGTAATTTAATAATTAATTAATTATTTTAATTTGATTAGCAAAATGGAGCATTCAGCTCCGTCGCCGGAAAAAGAAGACGACGCCGTAGAAGGCGGTGACGACGAAGTAATGAGCGAAGTCCACCTTGGATGCCCACCCGGTTTCCTCGGACCTCACATTTCCCGTTTTACCATTTCCCTTCCACTCCCACACGGTAACGCTGCTCCTTTCCTCCTCCACCATCATTCACTTTATACTTTACTCTATTCAATTCAATTTCAATTTTTCTGTAACTGAAACTGAACTTAATGCAGCAAAATTAAACCCTAATTTCTAGATCTTGATCACAGCAAACAAGTTCACAGTTCGGAAAACGAAGAATTCGAAACTCCGATTCTACAATTCGATCAAGACGGTGACCTAGTTCTACCTCGTCGTCGCACCGGTAAGTTCTCAATTGCATCATTCTTAGCTTTACAAATTCGATATCAACTAAACGCGGATTCGTATTAACAAAGTTTATTGTTGAAGCAAATGCATCCTGTGATGATAATAGCTATTGTCTGAGAATTCAGCATAATATCACTTCATCGATTCCGAATGTTGGCTTGCAAGTAATTCTCTAATCAATTTCTGAATACTTTTTTATTTTTTTATTTTCATTTTTCAAATTCTGCGTATGCTTCATCAGCATCAGTTTGTTATTTTCCTTTGCTTCAGGTTTGGAGAGCTGAATTGGTGTTAACTGATTTTATATTGTATAAAACATTGTGTTCATCTGAGTTTCGCCAAGTTACTGCCATAGAACTTGGCGCTGGAACTGGTATATTCATAATTACTCTCCCTTTTTAATTTACTTCATAATTTTTTTAAGAGAAGTTATTAAGAATGATCTCAAGATTAACGATTTGGATAGAAACATGGTCTTGGATAGAACATTATGGCGAAAGTTGATTCATGTAGCCGACCCCACTGGCATAAGACTTAGTTGTTGTTGTATAATTTTTGTTGTCATTTTATTTTTCGGGCTCTAACTGAAATTAGAAACCTAAAAACTACGAATAGGAAGTAGGAACTAGGAACTGGGAAATTCTTAAAGCAGAACTATAGGCTTGTAGCATGGTCAATAGAAACCTCACAGTTATGTGAAATATGCGTGTGTTTTTAAAATCTTCATTCTGACTTATAATTAACTAATCCATTGATGAGATAGATAATTGTGTTCATCAGCACACAACCATATATACCGTTGAAATGTAGTATACAAAAAAGTTTTTTTTGTATTTTAAACAAAGGAGAATCGAAACAATAAATACTATGGTAATGCCTTTTTTTTTCTTTTCAAATGCTGATTCTTCAATAAAACATTTAGTGCGCTTCTTGAGATTAGTTTAGTTATCTGTGAAGGAATGATCAAATCTGTCAATTTGAAAGAGTTTCATGTTATTTTTTAAAGAAATATTTTTAATGATTCTTATGATTCAAGTTTCCGACTATGTTGCTAGGCCTGGCAGGTTTGTTACTTGCACGTACTGCAAAAAAAGTGTTTATAACAGGTATGGTGTCTTCTTTTAAGTGACTTGCCACTCTTCCCAGCTCTATTCTACTCCCTCCATTCCTTATTATAAGTAAATTTTACTTTTTAGATTCATTATATAATTGATGAATCTGATCTATATAAAAACCATATTCATTAAATATTCATTGAATCTAAAAGTCAAAGTTTGCTTATAATAAAGAATGGAGGGATTATATGTTAAGAGTCCTACATTGAACAATATATGGGCTGATCATGTCTTTATAAGTGGGGGAAATTCTCACCCTACAAGTTGGTTTTGTAGGGTTGACTTAGGTCTAACCACAATTCTTAATAGTATCCATATATACCTTGAAGATAGGAATCATATTGCATAAGTGTTGATAGTTACCTAGATTGGTTCACATCAGTTGATATACTCAATTGATTCATATTTACAAGGAGCTCTGTTTAATCTTATTATTTTTCATGATCTTTTAAGCTTGATGACCTTATTGAAAGGCTGATGCTTGTTATATGTCAGATCATGGGAATCAAATACTTGACAACTGTGTGAAGAATGTTCTGCTTAACCGTGGATTATTGAATAATCCAGCTACAGTTTATGTACGTGACCTTGATTGGTTTGATTCCTGGCCTCCCAGAGTCAGAGTAGGAGAAGCTACTTGCACACATAGGTAAAGTACATTATTTTGATGAAAACTTTCCAAGAAAGTATTTCTGCTTTCTACTTCTTTTGGGGTTGGGATTGAGTTTATTACTTGAAACAACAATGTTGGTATATGTTATGTCTTTTACACGGTCGTCCAATATAAAACCACAAATCTTCCAAATCATCATAGTCGTTTTAAAATATCAGCATGATTTGGCGGGATGCACATCGTTCATTGGATGACGGTGTAAAGTGATAATACACCGTCAGTGCATCTCCTATTTTCTCAAGTAAATATTAGGTACACACCACAATCACTTCCCGTGATGTTATGCAGATATTCTTGGACTTCCATAGATATTGAAGATGCAGAAAATGCTTCTGTGCTGCTCGCTGCTGATGTTATTTATAGTGATGACCTGACTGATGCATTCTTCAGTACTTTAGAGAGATTAATGTCAAGGGGCTCTACTAAGGTACTCCCTCTGTCCCAAAATATAAGAGAAAAAACACATTTTTCTAGTCCCAAAATATAAGAGAAAAAATCATTTTTCATCTCTTTCAAGGTAAAATTAAATGTAAATTGTATTTAATTTACCTTCTCTCTCATAAGTTCTATAACCAACAACCAATTAAATTTTTTTTACATTTTACTAAGCACTTTATTTAAAAAAAAAACCATAAGTCAAATGATTATGTTTTTACTTTCTTAATAAGTGTGTTTTTATTTTTTTTCTCTTATATTTTGGGACGGAGGGAGTATATGTTAACTTGGTGTTATTAAGATCAAAACTCAAATATCGTGGGTTTTAAAAAGGGAGGGAGAAAGAAATGGGGTAGGGATACGGGGATTATTCCATCAACAATGTACAATGGCGAAGATGGATTACTGCAGAAATGTCATAGGAATGATCTGTTTTAAGCCATGAGTGCAATATTCAATAGCAGTTATTTGACTTGATCTATCTATTTCTAGGTGTTATACATGGCACTAGAAAAGCGATACAACTTCAGTTTTTCTGATCTTGATGTCGTTGCAAATGGATATTCACATTTTCGCAGCTATCTTAGGGACGAGGATGGTAAGCTCACATAAGCACATAGTACAGTCAAGAAAAATGTGTTTTCAGACCGAGTTAAATTCACATAATTATTCATTATGGAATGTTTGATGTATCAAACATATTGCAGCAATTGAAAGCTTTGAGTCTGCAAGCATGTCTAATTTCGTGGGCAAGCAAATGGACATCTCTCAAATTCCGCAGTATGTTAAAGAATATGAAAGAACACACGATGTCGAGATTTGGCGCATCAAGTACTGTGGACCAAACCATGAAACCTCAGTTATTCCAGGATAAAAATCGAAGTTGAATTCTTCTTTCATCAATGTTATTTATTTTGCTCAATCTTATAAAATTAATTAAAGTGCAGATATTTTATTCAACTGCATAAGAATATTGTTAGAGGACTTTTAGGCAATTTTATAATTTGAAAATCATCTGTAAGAGTGCCAATGTTTGAGTTTGATGAGAATGTTTCTGTGGCCTTATCATGATCGCTTGTTGTCTAGTTTTGGTTCAGATTCCTTTAATTGTTTGTGCTGGTGGGAATAGTGCAATTGCTTTGAAGATTGTAAAAGGGTTCAACTTTGAGGCTCCTTGACTAATACTTGTTGGCACAACCAATGAAAACAATGACAGATCTTAGATCGGTACTTTGAATAATTAATAAGTTAAACAGGCAAATCAAAAAGTGCATTTAAGGGTGTAATTCTCCATGCTTATCAGCGACCAAGAGGAATAAAAAATAAAAGGTTTAAGCTTCTGTGTACAGTATGCTGTTTATTTTGCCAAGTATTAAAATAAATAAAAAATTAAGCATTGGATTATTTTCATTTTAAAAAAATTAAGCATAGCATTACTTTAATTTTTTATCCAGATAGTATTTTTCTTTTTGACTTAGTTATCTGAAATATTGAGTCGTTTTGTTATAGATTAAAAATATAATTATTTTTAAAAAATTTATGTTTATATTTTTTTAAATGATTGCATAAATTTAAATTTTAAATGAAAAATCTATTTAAAATAATTTTAATAAAAATTCGTATCTTTATAAGAGGTTATAGTTTTAATCTTTAATATCCACATTAAAATCATTATTAAAAATTCACTAAATAATTGTTGGTATCTTCATAAGATTTACTACTTCACATAATATATTTTTAGTCAAAGTATCCGTATTTACGTTGGAAAGATATTGTTTAACTATTGATTACGTAAAATATATTTTAAAAAGTGTTAAAATATGAATGGCGAACAAATATTATAAAGTAAAGGGTAAGTCCATTCATAAAAGCACATTTAAGTGTGTTCGAAAGAAAAATTCAGATGCGAACTTGCTCAAGAAGAAGATTTTCAGGTGTTTACTCTAGAGTTTTGATATAAAAGTGAAAGTCATTGAAGAAAGATAAGATCAATTTATTTTTGCTTTCAACTTTGTAGGAGTTTGTGTTCTGGTCTCTAATAAAGATTTTCTTATTGCCATCGTGTTTCTTGGAAGGTAATTCAATCAGTTTTTGAGAAAAATGAAAGAGATGTTCGGACTAAATGTTTTTAACATTTGTACTAACATCAACAAGTTTGTGATGCTCAAGACATGTTGGAGCTCGAGTTAAATCTAATTAATGTCAAACATGCAATTATTTGAGTGTGAAGGCATTGGATTTCGTGTTGAACATATTGCCTTACCTATCTCAAAAAGCAATTGTGTGAGTTTTCTAACTCTTGGTTTAATTAGGAAAGTATTCATGATTATGTATGTGTCAAGGATGTTATTGGTTTGACTGGAAGATGAACTTCTAATGAAGATTTCTGTTTTGAAGAATGATCTCATGAAGTGTTGGAAGTTTTATTCAAGATCTGTGTATCTAGAATAAAATAAAGGTTGTCAATCGTGAAGAAGTAAGATGTGATTTATTTCTGATCTTATGTCTTAAGAGAATGAAGAAGTATATCTATTTATATTTTTGTAAGGTGAAGTGACTTTATTATTCTTAAAAACTTGATATACCAATCAAGTCCGTAAGGATAGTCCATAACAATTGGAGAAGTTTTTTCTAGTGGAAATAAGATTTGAAGGCTAAGGAGGATAAAGTTTTCTAGTTATTATTAGCAAAGAGAAAACTGAAATGACAGTAGGCTGCTTTCATGATTATGCAAGCTAAGTTAGGAATGTCAATCATAATGTCTCAACATTGTGTTAGGCATTTGATTACTCAAGCTAAAGGCAGATACTTACATTGAAGATGTATCTTCTATAAAAGTATGATTTCAACAAAAACATTTGTTTGACTTCCTCGAAGGTCAAGTTCAACACTAGTTAATCAAGCAGTGGTTAAAAACTCAAGGAAAGTGTTAATTGTTTTCTCATACCTTTCTTAGATCTTCAACTAAGATTATTGATATTTTGATATTGGTTGCTCCAGACACTTAACTGCAGTAAAAATGTTTTTGGTTGAAATTTTTGTCTCATTTTATCAATTGTTATTGATGGTGAAAGAAGGTTTAAGGGCGTTGAAGTATCTAAAGAATCCCAGATGGATTTCTTTGGACAAAATAAATTGTGGCGGTAACTTCATTGATATTTTGTGAGTTAAGTCAATCAAATGGCTTAGTCTCAATATTTTCTGCCGCTACAAGAACAATCTTCCCATTCTTCACTTTGACTTTGACATTTTCCATACCTTCTGCATTAAGGTACTTATCATCAGCTCATCTGATCTTTGTCCTCCTTCTGGAGTCAAAATGTATCAGCTATTATTTGTTTCCAGTTAAGTGATTTGAGCAGCCAATGTCCATATACCATCAGTCTGCCAAACACCTTTCATCAGACTCGTAAGCCATTAATACCATAGGTTCCTCACCGGAACCTCCTCTGGTTATATTTTCTTCTTCTGATTTTCTTTCCTTGTTTGACCAACAATCTTTAGCAAAGTGGCCAAACTGCTTACAACAATAACATTGAACCTTCTTATTGTCGTATTTCTCCCTACCCTTATGATATTTCTTCTCATCAGAAGTGGAGGTTTCTGACTTCTAAGACCTACTGATCAGTGGTTTTTCCACCTTTATTTACAATTGAATTTAATTATAGTTTCTTTATTTTGTCAAGTGATTCATTTCATTTTTCTATGTTTTATGTGTTGGTTGTGTATTTTGTTATTTTCAGGCTCAGAAGAATAAAATTAGGAAAATCAGTGTGAAAAGTGCAAATTCGGAGTTTTGGAGGAAGTCTCAAAAACCAAGCTACAGGGTTTCTGACACGGCCACCCGTGTCGCCTGACACGGGCCGTCTCAGAAGAGAATGCATAGCTACAATTTGGGAGCAGAGGATGACACTGCCTGTGTTAGAAGGTTTGGGCGAGAGTTCTTATTGGAATGATGGACATAGGCCGACACGGGTGCCCGTGTCAGGTGACACGGCCCGTGTTGACCTGGACGCTGATTTTGAGTATTTTCATGATTTTGTATAATTTGGGACCCAAAGGGGCATTTTGAGCATTTCCGACCGAGACAAATGAATTATGCACTATTTAAATGAGTTTGGAAGAAGGATTAGCGACTTTTGAATGGGAGAAAATAAGAACGATAAAGATTGAGGTTTTCAAGAGATTTGGAGACAAAGATTCCTTCATACGCGGAAGCAATTGAAGATCGAATAATCCTCACCTTTTGTAATGTCTAATTTTATTATTGCATTTATTTTTAATACTATGAGAAGCTAAATCCCCCAATTCTAGGGGGATGACCCTGATTTGAAAATGTATTTATTTTGAATTCTTGGTATTGATGCAATAGTTGCTTTTCAATTTAAGTGTTCAATGTTCTTATGCCTTTCCTATCAGACAAATAGAGATTGATCTACGGTTAACAATTAGGGTTGGACAACCATTGTTAAGATTTTTGAACAATTAGACTATAGTAGATATCACTTAGGACTAGGGATACCCTATAGGTCACCGGTAAAATCTTGATAACATGACTGCTTGGTTTCATCATAATTCACTAAAGACTTAGGTATTAGGATGAAGAACCAAAGGTTTTCTCACTAAGGACTTAGGGGAAGACAAACTAAATATTCGGTAGTTGAAAATATTGATCTTGTTGAAGAGATCAAGAATGAAGGTTAACACAAGGTCAAATCACACACTTACCCTAGCATGCTCCTCATATATGTTTGTGATCGGTGGAAATAGAACTGGTTGTTTTTTAAGCTGGTTCGTGAAATGTCGCGGTAAGCAAGAGTCGCCACCGTCTTTTATGTTCTCCAACATGGAAAGGACAAAAGCACAGCAAAATTCCTTTTCAAGATTGTTTCTCGGTTCGGGAGGTAGATTTATAGAAAGGGAAGGTGTTAGCACCCTTTCTATTCGTGGTTATCCACGGGCTCTTAGATACTTGCTCACTATGTTTTCAAAAAATGTTTGCTTTTCAAGTGTTTGTGGGTTTTAAAAAAAAAGTTTCGTTTTGAAAACTTCTAGGTAACTCTTGTATCAGTCCTCAAGAGTGTATGAAGTGTTTGTTTGAAAACCTTTTGAAAGTGTAGGTGCGAAAAGATGTTTTTGTTTTTTTGAAAGAGCAAGTACCCATGAGAAATCTACCTACTCTAAGGAATTAGGCTGTGTAAGAGTCCTTTAGACAGTACTATCCCACTATTGAGAAGTAGGTAGCACCGTCGTTGGAGTTATTCGGGTCAATTCGATTATTAGGGACAATGTGGTCACCGAAGCAATGGTAGCACGCCTTAGCGGTAACCCTAATGTCCTAGATCCTTTTTATCCGAGGCAACCGTTTCGAGGCAACTGGATCTTTAGACAGGAGGGCGACCTCTAAAACACCCTATACTTGATGACCACCTCGAGGCAACCAAGTGAGGCGTACCCTAAGAGTGGCATGTGCATGTGTGTTGTTTTTCAGTTAAATTGTCTTGTACATGTTATTTGTGAGCTACGGGTTGATTTTATTTTCCGTACAAATCTTGTCATGCATAATTAAAAGTTAAAGTGTGCGGAAGGTAAATTGCGGAAAGTTGAATCTACGCTATTACAAGGCGCGGGTATATACATCGCCAAAAACATAACCCGTTTGGAAAATAAATGCGAAAAAAGTAAATAAAGCGATAAAAGCCTAATTAAGTATTACATTTCCGGAGCAGATACATAAATATAATGAATTAAAATAAACATGCGCGCGAAAGATTGAATCGGGATGTCCTTAGGGTTTTGACCCTTTTTGAGAAAAGAATTGAAATTGGTCCTTTTTTGCATTTAAATTAAATGTTAAACCTAATTTACTAGTTA